TCCCGCTATCTGGACATTTAGGGGTCAGCAGGACCCGGTACAGGTTAACCCAAAGCTTCTTTTGGCCTGGAATTAGCCAGGAGGTGGGCAGGTATTGCAACACGTGCGATACATGCCAAAGGGTGGGGAAAAGGGGGGACCGGCGCAAGGACAAGTTACATCCCATTCCCATAATCGAGGAACCCTTTAGCAGGGTAGCAGTTGACCTAATAGGACCCCTCAACAAAGCGAGCCCATCAGGTAAACGATTTATCCTGACAGTGGTAGACTATGCCACCAGATATCCAGAGGCGGTGGCCCTGACGAATATACAGGCTGAGACAGTAGCGGAAGCCCTGATGCAGATATTCTCCCGGGTGGGACTTCCCAGGGAGATTGTCTCCGATCAGGGCACCCAATTCACCGCCGAAGTCACGCAGCGCTTCTGGAAGTTTTGTGACATTAAGCCTGTCATTAGTTCCCCTTACCACCCCCAGACGAATGGGCTCTGCGAACATTTCAACGATACATTGAAACAAATGCTCCGAACCTTCGCAGAGACCCACAAGGACTGGGAGAAATTCCTGCCCCACCTCCTCTTTGCTTACAGGGAGGTGCCGCAGGAATCCACTGGGTTTTCCCCATTTGAACTATTGTTTGGCCGCAGGGTACGAGGGCCTTTAGATTTAATCAGAGAGCATTGGGAGGGAGAACGGAGCACTGACGGTACCCCCATCATACCATACGTGTTGGCATTCCGAGACCGCCTTGAGGCCTTAACTCAGACGGTATGCGAGAATTTGCAGGCGGCTCAGACATGCCAACGCACATGGTATGATCCCGCCAGGGACCGTAGCTTTCAGGTCGGGCAGAAGGTGTTGATTTTAAAACCTGTCCGACACGATAAGCTGCAGGCCGCCTGGCAGGGCCCTTATAGGGTGGTAGAACAACGGTGTGACACCACTTATGTAATCGGCTCATGCGTTGGTACTGGGGGCGACGCATGCTCCATGTGAACATGATGAAGCCCTACCAGGAGCGCTCTGAGGAAGTGACCGCTATATGTGCGCCTAACTCCGAGGAGTTTGACAGTGTGCCTCTCCCGGATCTGCTGGGAGAGGGTCAGTTATCAGGGGACTTAGGGGAAGTCACCCTGGGGGACCGGTTGAGCCCACAGGAGCGGAGCGAGGTACAACAGCTGTTCAGGGAGAAGCAGGATATCTTCTCTAATGTAGACACCCCAGGGCAACTTCCCATGCGTCAGACCCCGTACCGCATCCCAGAAGCGGTACGGACGAACATGCGCAAGGAGATCGATGAGATGCTCCAGCTGGGGGTGATTGAGCCCTCTGACAGCCCCTGGGCATCTCCGGTAGTGCTAGTACCAAAGCGGGACGGCACGACCCGGTTTTGTGTAGACTACCGGAGATTGAATGAGAAGACGGTATCTGATGCCTATCCCATGCTCAGGATAGACGAACTACTGGACCGGATGGCGAGGGGGCACTATCTCACCACTATTGACTTGTGTAAAGGGTATTGGCAAATACCCTTGGCGCAAGACGCCATCCCTAAGTCGGCCTTTGTCACCCCATTCGGCTTGTACCAATTTAAGGTCATGCCGTTTGGGATGAAAAACGCCCCGGCTACTTTTCAGCGGATGGTGGACTGCCTCCTGGATGGGTTCCAAGATTATACCTGCACCCACGTCGATGATATTGCCATTTTCAGCAATACCTGGCAGGAACACTTGACCCATATAGGAGCGGTCCTAGACAGGATTAGGGCCGCTGGTTTAACGCTGAAACCAGCCAAATGCAGCATAGGAATGGCTGAAGTACAATACCTCGGTCATCGGGTAGGATGCGGCAAGCAGAAGCCGGAACCAGCCAAAGTAGAGGCTGTAGCTCAATGGCCTACCCCTAGGACTAAGACTCAGGTACTAGCGTTCCTAGGAACGGCCGGGTACTACCGGAAATTTGTCCCGAATTATAGTGCCCTGGCCAAACCTCTCACCGACTTAACCCGTAAAAACCTGCCCCGCCAAGTAACCTGGACCCCGGAGTGTGAGCAGGCATTTCAGTTGTTGAAAGACGCATTGACCAATGCCCCTGTCTTGGCAGCTCCCAATCCAACTAAACGTTTTCTTGTCCACACAGACGCTTCTATGTTTGGATTGGGAGCAGTATTGAGCCAAGTCGGGGCCGATGGCGGAGAACATCCCGTGGCTTACATCAGCCGGAAACTGTTACCTCGAGAAGTAAGCTACGCCGCCATCGAGAAGGAATGCCTGGCTGTGGTGTGGGCCCTGAAGAAATTACAGCCATATTTGTACGGACAAGCTTTTTCCCTGCTCACGGATCACAACCCGTTAGTATGGCTAAACCGGGTGGCTGGGGACAATGCCCGGCTGCTGCGCTGGAGTCTGGCGCTGCAGCCCTTTGACTTTAATATCCAGTACCGCCCGGGTAAACAGAATGGAAATGCTGATGGGTTGTCTCGACAAACTGACCTAGAGAAATGATCCGTGAGCCTCCCCGGACATCCCCAAGCCGATCCGTGTTGGATCAGACTGTGTATGCCGGCTTGTGGGCAAGGGGGAGCAGTGTAGCGGATGGCACCAGGCGATCCTACAAATATACTGTACATAACTGCATTCGTGTATCTGCTGTGTTTTATATGTGTTAAAAAGAATTGTATTCCTCTGATTGTTCGGTAGTTTCATTCCCTTAGTTTATTCGAATGAAACTACCGAACAACCAGACCTCCCCTGTGTGAAGTGTGTCCTCAATTACCCGTTGCAACATTGTTGCGAACGGGTAATTGAATAGTAAGTAGCCGTCCTTTGTTCTCGGGGGTGGCCGCCATTCGACAAACGAACACGTGGCGGCGGCCATTTTAAAACTCCCGAACAGCGGTGTTTTGCCGTCGAGTGTCTGGAACTAAAATCGGACACTCGAGTAGGCGAACACCGCTGAGACCTCCACAAACCTGGTCCGTTCGGTTCCAAACTACCGAACGGCCCCTCGTTCGGTAGATAGAAAATACCGAACGAGGGGATTCAGGCGAACCCTCCCTAGCCTCTATAGCTAGAGGCTTTCGTGTATTTTGTTCCCTTATGCCAGGACCGACCGCAGGGCCCATTCGCATGGAACCTTATTTGGCTATCTCAGTTAGTGCGGTCGGTCATTTTATTCCCTCCATACATTTCCCGAACCCCTGGTCTGATCTGGGTGATTTTTGGATATGTTGTTCACCCAGATCAGGGGTATCCGGGGATGTAGGATTTAAAGAGGTACCCCTACGTTTAGGGGTACATCCAGAAACGGGGGGAATTACTGTACTGGATAAGGGGATTATGATGCTGGCTGAGGGGAGGAGATGTGTGGGAGGTTACCAGGACAGGATTGGCTACTGTAATAATTACTGTAAATCCCTCCCTTGCATGGGAGCATGCTTTATAAGGAGACTGTGGATTAAAGCTTTCAGTTCTGCTCCTGAAACTGTGTGTCGTCCAGTTATTGGGATTGCTGTTGGGATATTGCTGTATTTTACCTGCTGGAAGCCTTGCCTGTGGATTTACTATTTACTTGTTCCTGAGCCTCACTTGGATTATAAGCGGAGATAACCTGGGTAATATTGCATCTCCGCTACAGACGTGCACAATGGTCAGGAGTAATTCTTGACCATTCCTCTTTACAGAACTGTTTCAGTTCAGCAATATTCTTGGGATGTCTGGTGTGAATCGCTTTCTTGAGGTCATGCCACAGCATCTGAATCGGGTTGAGGTCAGGACTCTAACTGGGCCACTTCAGAAGGCGTATTTTCTTCTGTTTAAGCCATTCTGTTGTTGATTTACTTCTTTGCTTTGGGTCATTGTCCTGTTGCAACACCCATCTTCTGTTGAGCTTCAGCTGGTAGACAGATGGCCTTAAGTTCTCCTGCAAAATGTCTTGATAAACTTGGGAATTAATTTTTCCTTCGATGATAGCAATCCGTCCAGGCCCTGACGCAGCAAAGCAGCCCCAAACCATGATGCCCCCACCACCATACTTCACAGTTGGGATGAGGTTTTGATGTTGGTGTGCTGTGCCTTTTTTTCGCCACACATAGTGTTGTGTGTTTCTTCCAAACAACCAACTTTGGTTTCATCTGTCCACAGAATATTTTGCCAGTACTGCTGTGGAACATCCAGGTGCTCTTGTGCAAACTGTAAACGTGCAGCAATGTTTTGTTTGGACAGCAGTGGCTTCCTCTGTGGTATCCTCCCATGAAATCCATTCTTGTTTAGTGTTTTACGTATTGTAGATTCGCTAACAGGGATGTTAGCATTTGCCAGTGACTTTTGTAAGTCTTTAGCTGACTCTCTAGGATTCTTCTTCACCTCATTGAGCAGTCTGTGCTGTGCTCTTGCAGTCATCTTTACAGGATGGCCACTCCTATGGAGAGTAGCAGCAGTGCTGAACTTTCTCCATTTATAGACAATTTGTCTCACCGTGCACTGATGAACAGCAAGGAGATTTTTTTATAACCCTTTCCAGCTTTATGCAAGTCAACAATTCTTAATCGTAGGTCTTCTGGGAGCTCTTTTGTGCGAGGCATCATTCACATCAGGCAATGCTTCTTGTGAAAAGCAAACCCAGAACTGGTGTGTGTTTTTTACAGGGCAGGGCAGCTGTAACCAACACCTCCAATCACATCTCATTGATTGGACTCCAGTTGGCTGACATCTCACTCCAATTAGCTCTTGGAGATGTCATTAGTCTAGGGGTTCACATACTTTTTACACCTGCACTGTGAATGTTTACATGGTGTGTTCAATAAAAACATGGCAACATTTCATTCTTTGTGTGCTATTAGTTTAAGCAAACTGTGATTGTCTATTGTTGTGACTTAGATGATGATCAGATCACATTTTATGACCAATTTGTGCAGAAATCCATATCATTCCAAAGGGTTCACATACTTTTTCTTGCAACTGTATATGACCATATTACCTGAAGGGATTAAAATCACAGTCTTCATTCAACCCATGTGGGAATAATGTGTGGAAATAATGTATCCAATCGATAAATCCACAGTAGTTCCACGTGTTTGAGCGAATCTGCAAGGGAACAACCAAAATGAGGAGTTTTGATACGTTCTATAGCCTGAAAAAGTAGTTGTGCCACCGAATGGCCAGAGTCAATGAAATGTTTGGCAAAGGAGATATGCCGTTTCTTAGTGCGAATGGTACTTTTATGTTCACCAATACGTACAGTTAAAGATCTGGACGTTTGGCCGATGTATCCCAGACCACGAGGACATATGATGAAATAAATGACCTGGTCTGTTTTGTAATTAAAAAACTCTTTGATAGCAAATGCTTTCCCTGTTCTGGGATGTGTAAATTCTGAACCCGTGATCACATTATTGCAGTTGGCACAATGGCCACATCGGTGCATACCCTTAATAGGTGCCAACCACGTAGTGGATGGTTTAGAGGATATTCTGGCTCTGGAGGGCGATACCAAGCTTTTAATATTCCTCAATCTCTTATAAGCCATGAGTGGTCTCCCCTTAAAGAGATCAGCAATCTCTGGGTCACTCTGTAGAACATGCCAGTTCTTATTGATTACGTGTTTGACCAAACCAGATTTGGTCGAATATGTAGTGACACATGGAATGCGGTTGGACTTGTTTCTCTTGTTCTTACCCTTGGTCCTCAGTAATGATGTCCTCTCCCGATTTTTTGCTTTAGCCAAAGCTTCCTGTAAAGATGTGTCTTTGTAACCATGGGAACGAAAATCTTCCAGCATCTTCCTAGCCATATACACTAGCTAACAGACACACACATTTACTGACAGACACATACTCAGTGACAGACATACACACACTCACTCACAAAACACAATCTCACTAACAGATGCACACAAACTAACACACACACACTCTAACAAACACACACACATACACTCACTAACACACACACTAACACACTTTTTTTTTTGTTTCATCCCCCAGCCTCCCTAGCTTTGGGAGAGCTGAGGGGATTCCCTGGGGTCCAGTGGTGTCACCCGGCGGCCGGTCCTGCAGGCAGGCGGGCCCGCGAGGGAGCACTCTCCCCTGAGTGCTTCCTGTTCAGCTCCCTCGCGCATCGCGTTCTGATACCGGAGCCGGAAGATGACGTCATATCAGTGCGGTGCACGAGGGAGCTGAAGAGGAAGCACTCAGGGGAGAGTGCTCCCTCGCCAGCCTGCCCGGTGACACCAGGGCCAGCCTCTGGGGGGCCTGAGGTGACCGGCTGCTGAGCAGTCCGGGCCCCCCAGGCCCATGACAACTGTTATGGTTGTCATGCCCTGATGGCGGCCCTGCATCCCAGGGGCCATAGTCACATGGCAGGAGGCTAGCAATCAGTCTTCTCCACTGCCCAGTGGCGAGCTGGTTCTGCCACATTTCTCCCCTTTTCCAAACAGACTAACAGGGTATCTGACCTCCTGCCGGTCAGTGCCCTGGTTAGTCCAGCAACCCACCCACGAAGCACAAACAGTAATACATCCCACCCACAATACATGGTTACTACACCTGGGTAAAAGATTAGCTCGTCCAGGTGCCTCCCCACGGCTGTGTGGGGTACTGATAGGCTGCCTTGGTGGGTTGCTGAGTGGGCAGAGACCAGCGGTACTCTGCCCTGGTGCCAGCGTTACCACGGGAGTAGCCTGGTTGGAGCCATGCTGAAAAGAAGAGTTGGTAGGCTCCTCTCTCGGGATCTGGGGCTGGAGGGGTAGACCGACTGTCTCCCCTTTGGTTACATAGTCCTGCTGCTGGAGGGGAAGATTGACTGTCTCCCCTTTGGACACACAGCCCTGCTGCTGGAGGGGGAGACCGATTGTCTCCCCTTTGGCTAAACAGCCCTGCTGCTGGGGGACAGGACCGACTGTCCCTACCTCCGGTGGTGCATGTGCAGAGACCAAGGTCCCATCTGCACTGTTGTGGAGCTTACTGTCTCCCCTTGGTGGGCTAAGCTGCCGCTGGGGAGAGGGGGTAACAAGTTCTTCTCCCATACATACTTTCAGCCGCTGGGGAGAGGGGGTAGCAAGCTCCTCTCCAATACATACTTTCAGCCACTGGGGAGAGGGTATAACAAGCTCCTCTCCCTGACAGTCTCTCTGCTGTTGAAGAGGGGGACCGACTGTCTCCCCTTTCAATATATTGTCATGCTGCTGGGGAGCGAGACCGACTGTCTCTGCTCCCCGTCGGACACACTGCTGCTGGGGAGGAAGGACGGCACCTTCGGCTCTCTGGGACTCGCTTGACTGCTGGGGAGAGGGACTGACTGTCTCCTCACCCAAGAACTTACACTGCCGCTGGGGAGGAAGGATGGCACCTTTGTCTCCCTGTAATTCACTGGACTGCTGGGAGGGGGACCAACTGTCTCCTCTCCTAAGGACACACACTGCCACTGGGGAGGAAGGACGGTATCTTCAACTCTCTGGACTGCTGGGGAGAGGGACCAACTGTCTCCTCTCCTAAGGACACACACTGCCGCTGGGGAGGAAGGAAGACACCTTCAGCTCCCTGTAATACACACTGCCGCTGGGGAGGAAGGACTGCACCTTCGGCTCCCTGGGACTCACTGGACTGCTGGGGAGAGGGACCAACTGCGGCTGGGGGGGAAGGGCGGCACCTTCGTCTCCCTGTAACTCACTGGACTGATGGGGAGAGGGAACTGGGATACATACTGCCGCTGGGGATCTGGGCCGACTGCCCAGCATCCCCGTAGGGCCGGTAGAGACCTCGGTCCCATCTCCACCTGCCAGCTGGGTGTCTTCCCAGGACAAGTCAATAAGGTCTTCCATCTCTGGGGCTGGTTGGGACGTATGTGGTACAGTACCAAGGTCCCCTGATAACAGGCTTGGTTGCTGGGGAGGAGGAACTAAACTCAATGCTTCCGGTGGTATACAGTCAATAAGCCCCATCATGTCAGAGACAGGCGGCGTTATACGTTGGAATAGGCAAACATAATCCTGTTCTAGTTCCCACTCCCGGTTGGCAAGAAAAGAAAGATCTGGCTGAATGGCATCGATCTCCGTAAGGTCCCAGTTGTCTGCCTGCTCAGCTCGGATGGACCAGAAGCGAGCAATGTCGATATGTCTCCGAAACAGAGACTAGTTTCAATAGTATCCCACAACAAAACATGGCCATCGTAGTCTTCCTCCTCAATACACTTGTACTCGATCAGCCATGGGTAGAGGTGGTAAGCATGCCACCGCAGGGCCCGACAGGAATCATCCAGCCACACCTCAGTCTCAACTAGCGTCTCCAGTTCGCTTACCCATTCCTCTGAGGGCTGGTTTCCCAATAACGGCATCTGCAGCTCTAGTTGTTCTGCTTGGCGCTGGTTAGTGGTCAGGATTTCCTCGCACCGGAAGGGTCGAATTTCGTCGATGTCCTCCTTCCAGAGATCGGTACGAAGTGCCACCCTCCACTCTGTCTCTCTTTCCTCTGGGATAGGATAATCCATACTGCGCATCACATCCTGTAGTCGCTGCTGGAGCCTGGCGTCAAAGTGAGATACTGCACAGCCTTCCATCTCTGAAGTAGTGCTGGTTTTCCCAAGGCTAGGAAGCCTTCCTACTTCTGCCACCAATGTAACGGATCACCTGGCCCCCCGACTGGTTACCTCCGTTGATGGATGCTCCTAGCACTTCTTGAGGATTCCAAGCACTCTAGCCGACACCACAACCACCGCAGGCCAAACCTCTCTTCCTTCAGAGTGAAGCAGGAACAAGCTCTTAAAAGAGTTTCGGAATGATTATAGCAAGGGAATATAAAGAGCATAGCAATCCCTTGTAGCAGATTCCCCCAATAAGTGACAGGACTCCAAATTGAGGATGAACAGTCTAAAACTTTATTTTACTTGGGACTTGCCCATATGGTCATTACATTAACATTGCTGTAAAAACTCAATAAAATTACAAACAGTCAAATCATAGCAGGCAACATACAGTGACTTATTATAACATAATTACATATTTATAAATGGGTGGGGAAGACCATAATTAATACAAAATGTCTCTCCTGCATGCAGAATTAGCGGTATGCAAATCTACCCAAATATGCAAATTGCCAGTCTTGCTATTCAGGTAGTGCATATTACTGTTGCACCAACAGAGGGCACTACACAAGCTCCATAGCCAAATCCACCTAGTTGGTAGCAATCCTCAGCAGTACAGGAGAGCGGGCAATACATCCCAGGGGCCATAGTCACATGGCAGGAGGCTGGCAATCAGTCTTCTCCACTGCCCAATGGCGAGGCTGGTTCTGCCACACCTTGTACATTGGGTGAGCCCCAGTGGCCTGTAAGTTGATTGACTACGGAGGACCCCTAAAACCCTCCAGGAGATTTTCAGGCTATGTATGTACGTAGTGGGGAATCGTGATGCAGCATAATAACATAAACCAACTCAATTCACACAAATAATGACAGACAACGTAGTGTGGATGAAACAGGCCACAGCATTTATTATAACTTATGATAATTACTGTATAACACATCCATAGTTTATTTTAAAATTCTATTTTCTTTGATATAACTAAAATGTCAAAACTTAAGTAACCATAACTTAACATATAACTTAACACATAGTGTCATACAGTGTAACCCAACCGTCCTTGCCAATAAACTGACCATGCGCCTATGTACCACGTCCTCTCACCTCCCCCCAAGCATAAACTCCTTTTTCTTTCCAATGCTTACCACCAGCCGACCTTTTCCAAGCTCGGTGAGCACAACATAACAGGTAACCTAAGGTTAACCCTTTAGAGCTGGAGAGGTTGAGTCCTGAAACCTTGTTCACTTCATTCCACATAATTAACCTAACCACCTCAAACTTAATTGGCAAGGACATACCCCCAGCCACAACCCCGCTGTTATACGCCTAAAATCAGCGGGGGACCCCACTGTAGCAGAACGCCAATATTAAATCCCCGAATTCCTCTGGTTCAGGAAGTAATCCACAGTCAAGCGCTGGAAACAACAAGGCAATATCCCAAATCTCCCAGTAACCGGACGAAACACAGTTCTGAGAGTCAATTGAGGTCTTTTATTTCAGCTCCACAATTTATACAAGTCCCCATGCAAGGGGTTTCCTGAGTCCCTTCCCAGGGGCATTCCCAGAGGGGACTACATGGGGGACTTATTGTACAAGCTATTTCTCCCATCAGGCACTGCTGCACGAGAGGGATCCTCCCAATGGAATATACCGTTAAGTGGATTATCCCTCCGTGCAGCAGAACCGACAATTCACATGAAAATGCATAACTTTTCGATTATGTAGTCTATTTGCACGAATGGACGTTCGGTAGATAGCTGGGGTCTGAGCGCATCATTCGTGAGATTACTGCTCAGATCCCAGCTAAAACAACCGAACGCCGCATGAAAAACACATTCATTGAAAAACATATTAAAAAGACCGATTGCCTTCCAGGGAATGAAATACCGAACGGCCCGTAACTCCCGAACGTCCTGGAGGCTCAGCGGTGTTCGTGCTGTCGAGTAGCCGTTTTTAGTACCATGCGCTCGACGACCTAACACCGCTGAGGGAACAAAGGATCCAAGATGGCCGACCGCCGCATGGTCGGTAGTCGGCCACATTGTTGCAATCGGTTAACAAGCGCCACACGCCTCTAAGTGTGTGGGCTATTATGTGTAGTGTTTTCGGATCACGAACGGCCTGACAAAGTGCCGTTCGTGAAACGAACGGAAAACCTCATACAAATAGCTATCTGCATTCGGCGGATAGCAAATACAGGAAAT